GGGGGGGTTAATATGAATCAAGGCATGGACTCAAGTCAAGATGATAATATGAATCAAGGCATGGACAAAGTCAAGATGAAGACGAGACAACTTTTAGTAAGACTTGTGTGTACATTACCCTTTCTTATGAAAATATACTGAATTTGTTATTGTTGTAATTTTAAACATGTTTTCTCTCTCTACTCTCCGGGGTAGGGGCAAATTTTTCGTACACTCTACTCTCCTCAGGCTCTACCCGTGAACCCGTGAAAACGCATTGGATAATTTTGAACATGTTCTCTCTCTCTACTCTCCGGGATAGGGGCAAATTTTACGTACACTCTACTCTCCTCAGGCCCTACCCGTGAAAACGCATTGGAATATTTTGAACATGTTTTCTCTCTCTACTCTCCGGGGTAGGGGTAAATTTTACATACACTCTACTCTGCTCAGACCCTACCCGTAAAAACGCACTAGGTGGTGGTGTTTGTTGTAGTAATTTTGAACATGTTCATATGTCTAGATAAAAATCCGTGGAGTTGGAGCATCGGGAAAGATACCCTGCAAGTACGATACCCTGCAAATACGAGTGGCTCGTATAATATACTAATCTTCAAATTTGAGACACCATCAAGGTAAAAACCCAGTATTATTTTATACAACTTTCATAACTTTAAAGAATTTAAAATTCATTTAAGTGTTCAGTATTTAAAATGTGATATAATATATTCTCACGAAACTAAATTTCCAGCCTTCTTTTAAATATGAATTGCACTATCGCTAATATATTGCAAATAGAAAGTTAACATATTAAATTTCGTGTTTTATATGAAACGAAACCAAAGGAGTTATCTTTTACCTTCAATCTTGAGCTTCCAAACAAAGCATAGGCAAGCACTAAAATAAGATAATACTTGTATTACAAAGGATAATATTGTGAGATACAGCCCATTACCAAATAACTTAACCACATTGCAGGCTACCTCGTAAATTTCATTGTGAAGCCAAGGGCTACACAATTAAATTTCTTATCTAAGAAAACCAATGTAGCCCTAATGGATTAACATACGACAATAGACATCCAATTTCAAATTCGAACACGGGGTCACAATCGACAAGACTATACACGAACGGCATGAGAAAGACAAAAGCAGCTCAAGAATTACAGAAACACTCTGCTTTCGGTTTACTCTTTCCACGTATGAAGGATAACGAGAAATAATCTGGTTTTATTATGAAACTTATCAAATTAGAATATACAAGATGCAGCAGGCTTCAGAGTAAAAACCAACGAAGTCCCTCCTGAGAGAGTTGTATTTTGTCCAAAGTCGATGCAATGTGGTATACATCAAAGAAGACCTGTACCAGTCAGAAAGTCAATTTCTCTTTTCCAAATAGACTGAATTGAAAATAAATTCCAGGAGTTCCAATTACCAAAATAAAATGCCAAGGCAAATAGCTACGCAAAACATCAAGAACTCTTGTTCAAGGTTAGTTAAATGTTATCAGACTGCAAATTGAGAGCAGAAACTGCGTGATTGAGTTGTTTGATATTTAGTGGATATTCTTATCTGCTCCCTATTTTCTTCTTATTTTGGACTTGAATTGCAACGCAGGGACACAAATTCCTGTATGGATGTGAAAAGGGGGGTAGCAGATAAAAGGGTCGTGGAAATCTCTACAAACAGGAAATTGAAATTGAACAATTTAATTAAAGGTCAAGTAATGATTTAACTCACCTCTCAAGAAAGCTGTACATCCAGTTGCAATCACAGATCAGGAGGGAATATAGAAAGTTTGAACCCAGTCTTCTCGGTCCCTTGAGGTTGCTTGTCCTTTTTGTATTGTAGTTCCCGGGCAGATATTGCTGCTGTTTTGGTGGAATTGTACAACTCTACCGTTTGGAGGCTGCGTATATCAGCCAGACCAATGGGAATTTCCTTAAGCCTATCACAGGAGATGAGAACAAGACGCTTAAGTCTTGGAAATTGATCAGCTGATGCGTTCCAAGAAACTAAGTTTGTCCTTTCAATCCACAACACCAGTAGCGAAGAAAAACCTCCAACTTTTGGCTCCCAGCACTCTCCTATAAACCCATTTTCTTTGAGCTTCAGGACTTCAAGGTGTTCCAACTGCCCCAATACAGACATATCATTCCACCCCAACCAGGTGTCCAATAAAGTCAGCTTCCTCAACTTTGTTGGAAATATATATGCAGGTGGAAGGTGCAACTCTTTTCCTGTTTGAATACTATCATTTATCAGCTTCAAGCTTTCAAGGTATTCTAGCTTCTTCACATTTTTTAACGATGTAGATGTATTTGGCTCAAGAAGCACAGCTATTTTCCCACGAATGCCCAGCTTTTTCAGGTTTGGAGCCCTTGCAAACACTTCTTCTGTGCAGCTTTCAGGAGCAATTGTGGAGAGAGTTTGCAGGCTTTGATTTACCAAAGTAACTTTACTACTTTTTCGGGCAATAGGCACAGGCAACTTAGCAGAAGAGTTAGTGTGCAGATGCCTTAGTCGTGCCATATTCCATATGTTTGCTTGAATAACAAGACAGCGTTGTTGCGTGTTAATTATGAGGGTTTGGATGTTCCAAAGTTCTCCAATAAGTTTAGGAAGGACCTTGATCGTGTCAGATGAGATAGCAATATACCTCAAATGATATAACTGGAAAAACTCCCTGGAAAAGCGACTAAAGTTGATGGATTCAACATCCAAAACCCTTAGCAACGGAAAGCCTTTTGGTATGGTTGGGATGTTGACAGATGGCAACTCAATTTGTTTTGAAGAAAAGGATAAGAATGACCTAACATGTTCACCTGCGGGTTTTGTACTGATAAAATCCAAAACTGAGGAATGAATGCATAAGCGACGGTAGGTGGATAATTCCCGCTTTCCAGGAAAATATTGCTCAGCACCTAGTTTTATTTCTTGGAAAAGATTTTCCTCCTTCACAGCCTCTTGTCTACAGAACTCATGCAACATGTCATGAACACGGCATGTTTTGATGTGGCCATCAGACGTTATTTGCATTACCATCACTAGATTCCTATTGACGAGATCATTCAAGTTTTCCTCTGCTTTACGTTCAAGAGATAAGTCGCTTTTATACTGTATGAATCCTTCCGCGATCCACAGACGGATTAACTTCCAAGAAGGTATCTCTAAGCCTCCTGGAAATACTGCACAATATAAAAAACATGCTTTCAAGTCATAAGGCAAGTTGTCATAACTCATTTGCACCAATTTCTTACAGCTCATTGAGTCTACATTTATGACGTGCTCACTCAAATTCTTATCGACTTGTTCCCACTCCCTTGTTGTCTTATCTTTTCCGATTAGAGCTCCTGCAATCACCACTATTGCAATGGGTAGTCCCCTACACTTTTCAGCTATGCTCTTTCCAGGTTGTTCCAATTTAACAGGACATTTATCCTTGTAAAAAACCTTTTTCTGTAGCAAAATCCAACTTTCATCCACAGTCAAAAATTTTAGATCATGAGGGATATGACTGCAGTATTTAGCAACTTTGCTATCTCGAGTCGTCAACAATACTCTGTTACCTTTATTGGTTGCCGGAAAAGCAATCCTGATACGGTCCCAAGCTTCGCCAGACCATACATCATCCAAGACAATCAGATATTTTCCACTCTTCCCCAAAAACTCTCGTATTTCGTCCGCTAAATCTTCCTCAGGACTATCATGATATTGTTTGGTGTTTCGGGTGAACTTACTGATGATGTTGAGAAATAATTCTCTTCTTCTATATGTCTGAGAAACGTAAACCCAAATGCGAGTATAGAATTCATATACAACTTCAGGATGCTTGTAAACCTGATTTGCTAATGTCGTTTTACCAAGCCCGGGCATACCAACAATTGGAACAACCTCTAGACTATCTGATCCTTCAAAAAGACGGTTGATTATCTTTCTCACCTCCTCGTCAAAGCCCACAACATCATCTTCCTCTACCACAGGAGACTTTTAACATAATAGAGAAATAGGTTAGATATATGTAATGATACTCGCGGCCCAAATATTGTATTATTTTAAAAGAACAAGTTCTTCTTTCTTTGGAAACATAATAGTAAGTTCAACTAATTGCAGGAAAAATGGGCTTTTCGGCCACATAAGAACAGTGAGACTACAAGATTATTTTGCTGTGAATGTGAACTAAATTGCATTGTATGTATTATGTCTAATCACTAAAAGTAATACATGTACTTCCCAAAGTTATAATTTGACAAACAAAAAGACCAATGAATAGCTTTAATTCTTAAAATAAAATGTACCGCATGTTCTGTCATGCATTTAAGGAATATATTAAAGATTTATGAACATTTGATTTAAAATGATAAAAAAAATCTTTACTTAACACGGTGTCTCTTTCCAAAAAAATAGTATTTAGTTAGGCAACATAACTTATAGGAGTTGATTGAACCATTCAATCAAGTTAATCACAGAAGGACACTAATATTTAGGAGTGGCAGACGGCTTTGATAAGACAGCCTCATCTTAAACAGCCTGCTTGGATGGTAACGCTGTGTGGTCTACCAGACTAGTAATGAAATAGCTAACCATGTACTGAGTCCGTATGTTGGGTTCAGTGTTATCAAAGGTGAAAAGCGCAAAAAAGCTCTAAGGTCCGTTGAGGCTTTAAGCGCAAAGCACAAATAAGGCGTGGGTTTTAATGAAAAAAGGCGCAACGGGAGAAAAAGTAAAAATATGCATGTAGTCCAAGACTAATTATTATAAGCATGGATAACAAATATATGGACAAAGAAATTGGAAAAGAATTCACGATAAAGTAAAATATCAATTGTTTAAGGTCGCCTTTTTAAGATTACAATCATTGGCAAGGAAAAGTATGCCTTAGAGCTTTGATGCGACACTAAAGCACCCACAAAGCGAGGAGAAGCACTCAACGTGTTTGAGCCTCGCTTCAGGGATTAAGCGCGCCTTTGACAACACTGTTTGGGTTAGTTATTAGTAGGACGGAAATTACAATTGCTATATACATGTCCTCACCCCTCGGATACAGCATGACAAGGAAAATAGGGCAATATATAATAACAGACATAAACAAAAGAATTTGTGCCACTTTCGGGGTCTAAGTAGCTTGATGTGATTTCGAATTATTTTTACTGGAACGTTATCTTAAATGGTAATAGCAACTGAAAATTTTCAAGAGCAATCATTTTCCTAGTCCTCTTAGAATAACAGAAAACTTTTCCGATAATCCATGTGTTCTTTTTCTAGATTTAGTTACTATTTCTTTAGCCTGAATGAGTTTTGCTTAATCCTCAATATTTTACATTGTTACATCGTTATATTCAGACAAGAGTGGGTTGCTCTAGTGGTGAGCACCCTCCACTTCCAACCAAGAGGTTGTGAGTT